GGCAATCTGTTTTTTGGGGACTGGAAACAGGAAAATCAAATAAGTCTGGGGGATGTTCTGGGACAACTTGGGAAGTATTGCCAGTGAAGTGATGGGACACAGACAGCATCTACCTGAGTGACTGCTGGTGGATTTTTGTGTCTGGACCTAATTTTTGATACATTTATCAGTAAGCCAGAGAACATAAACACAAACTAACAACTTTTGTAGCCTTCATTGCTTCTTTCGTTCTTTCCGAGCTTTGTGAGGTTTAACAAAGACAAACAAGTGCCAGATTGTGCACCATGGACAGAGCACCCTGGGTGTACAAACAGACTGGAAAAAGGAGCTGGAGAGACAACACAGGAAGGGTGCTGGCACTGCCCAGGCTCCCAGGGATGGGCACTGGAGGCTGTCAGATCTCCAGGAGTGTTTGGACACCAGGGATGCACAGGGGGAATTGCTGGGGGGTCTGCAGGGACAGGAGCTGGACTGGATGGTCCTTGTGCATCCCTTCTACCTGAGGACATTCTATAATTCTAATTACAAACAGCTGCTATTACAGTAACTATCCCAGATTTTTGCTTAAAAAACATCTCTTAAACCAAGTCCTAACCCATTTAAAGCATCACAAACAACACATGCTCCATAAAACAGGAGCTGCAGTACCCCAAGTGCAGCCTCCTAATGCTTTTTCACTTTATTACCTATGTCATTGTGGATTCAGAGGCTGTCTCCTGTGAAAGAACAGTGGCATTTGCTAGAGCCCAGATTTCACAGCACATCTGCCGTGGTGCTGGAAGAGCATGCAGAGGAGATGGAGAAGATGCAGCAGTGTATAGCAAGTGGAAGTTCTACCCAACTAATCAAGTCCTCAGGGACAGCATGCAGTGTCACAAGACATATCACTCTACACTTGAATGAGGTTGTCAGCCACGGGGAGGCTGCAAGCTGCTGACAGCACTGTGCAGGATGGCGAGGCTTCTAAAGGAGACACAGAAGCTTTGTAAAGTATGTACCTGCTTCTGTGGGTGAAGGGGGGGAAAAAAAGAACTGAAGTACAAAAGGGTATTTGCAAATCTGTCACTCAGTGTTCTGTTGCTGGGAATAAACCCAGACTCATCTGACGTGTGTTGCATGAACACAAAAAAGGTTATTTTGCAGGTTTCTCATAATGCACATATACATTTTTTATATATGTGCAGATCAAAATAATATGGGACTTATTTTAATAAGAATTATATAAATCAGAATGATATAGAATGAATCAGAAGATATAGAATTTAATAAGGATGATATAAATCATAGAGAGAATGTCCAAAGGAGGGATGCAGAGCATGAAGCTGTGCCAGGGGATGGTTATGCTGAAAATCAGGGAAAGGTTCTGCTTCCCCCAGAGGTGCTGGCACTGCCCAGGCTCCCAGGGAATGGGCACAGCCCTGAGGCTGCCAGAGCTCCAGGAGGGTTTGGACACCAGGGATGCACAGGGGGGATTGCTGGGGGTCTGAGCAAGGACAGGAGCTGAACTGGATGATCCTTGTGCATCCAATATTCCATGATTCTCTGAAAATACCACGTGGCAAAATAAGTGCCATATGAATATAGCCCAAAAAAAAGTAAGTTAAAACCTAAAATATTTGTTGCTTTTTATAGGAAATCTTAGGAAATTATAGGAAATAAATTCAGAAAGCACTTCTTTATAGATGTGTGAACTCGAGTAGAGTTGCTCATTTTGAGGTTGATCCTACCAAACATAATGACAAAAATTGGCATTAAAAGTGCATATTACTCAAATTCATTCTAAGAGGTTCAAGAATGAAAGCAAAAGATTTGCTCCGGTCCTTTACTGGAGTCATTGAAGAAAGACACCGCACTTTAAAAGGTGTTCACATTAATTCCTCCTATTAGTCTCACCCCAGTTTACTTCATTTATTAGAGCAAATACACTGGGAATGCATTTATTACTCTATATCCATGCAGAACAGCAATGAACAAGCCCCTTTGAAGTGTGTGCAGTTGCATTGCAACACTTAAAACTCCAGAGAAAAGTCTTTATGTCTGGAAGCTGTTTCCCCTGGAAAAATTGAGCTGTTTAATAAAAGATACTAGAGACCTCTGTAATCCTGTCCTGCTAAATTTCCCTGCACTTCACAAACTTCAGTATGAGACCTTTCTAACCAACAGGAGGAACTCACAGTCTCTGCATTCAAGCTTTGATTTGCAAAGTGATTTGTGTTCTGTTTGTATCCTATAAAATTAATCTCAGTTTTCAGTTTTATTTTGCTGATAAATTCCATCAATTCCATTAGGACCAAATGCTTCTATTCAGTGCCTTTCCACCCACTAACATGAAAACCATTATTTAAATATCAGTTCTATTCTGAGCAGCTCTTAAGAGCTGAATTTTCAGTGGGTTTTGAAGGTACATTTGAGAACATAAAACAAATTCTGCTTGTGTGTGTATTGTTTCTGTTTGTGCAAAACTTATTTTTGTATTCATTCTCCAAAGCACCTGATTAAATGTTTGTTCAAAACATACATGACTATGAAAAGCACCAGGTACACTCTACAAAAGTGTAGAGACAAAAATTGCAACAAAGATCTACATAATTAGGCTTGCTTCTAGAATGTTTTCTTTGAAGCAATTAACCACAAAATAAAGGATTTGTTTGAAGATTATACTAGAACTTTCAACATGTAAAAAGCACATAGCAAGCAATACTGACTCTGTAACAGGACAAAAGCACATTTATGTCCAGAAAATGCAGCAAAAATGGGGCAGACATTTGATATCACTCTCTCCACGATGTTAAACCTGCCTGAACTCACTATATCCTGTTTTACTGAGTGTCCTTCATTCAAAGTCTGGCCAGAAAAAGAAGAAAGAAAATCAAGGTAAGTGATAGGGCAGAAAAAATAGTTAATAAAGTCCTGGAATGCAGGAGATACCCCAGGTGTGCAAATCCTTTGGCAGGGGAAAAGCTCAGGAGGCTGGAGGAAGAGTGCAAGTGGAAAAGCCAGGAGGAGGAACCAGGTAAGTGCAAATCCACTGCAAGTTCTTAAAAGGAGGTCATTTTTCAATTGCAGTGGATAAGAAACCAATGAGGGTGACAGAGGACAAACCACAGCCCAACTTCACAGAGAAGGAAAGTATTTTGCTTGTGACATTCTGTACACCCTTAAGTTTTGGGAAGGATTGCCAAGAAGTATAATTGAGGGAGTCTCTGCTTTCCAGTCAGGAAGGATTAAGAGCAGCTCTGAAAGCTGTGGAGTACCTCTGCTCCCACCAGCCTGAAAGCACTCTCAATACTCACAAGCCTTAGGAAAGAAAAATAAGTCAGAAATATGGATGATTTTTCTGGAGAGGGAGGAAAAAATAGAGAGAAGAATTCCAAAAATATTCTATGTCTGTGTTCTAATGAATAAACCAAAAATTCCTCCCTATGGGAACAAACTTTGCCTCTTGCTCATTTCCGTCTATAACATGCAGTGTTTTAATTATGCAGCAGTCTCAACAAATAGAGTGTCACAGCATTTTAGCTAATTCTATTTAAGATGCCAGGAGAAGAGGGGATAATGTCTTCCTTGGTTTGGCTTAGTTTAACCTACCCACTTCTATTCACCAATGACTCAAACAATTCAGGATATTATAACCACCTAAAAAACCCTTAAAATAGTAGAAATATTTAGATCTGAATATATCCTGAAAATCAAAATACCACAAAGTACAAACCCAGGATTCTCCCCAGCTACTCAAAATAATTTTAAAAGCTCGACTAAAATATTCCAGAAAGAATAGGTTGAATAAAACATTTTAAGATGTGAAATATGCACATTGCTGTCTCTGTGAAATTGAGATACCTTACTAACCCCAGAGAAACAAATGAGAACAGATACCAAATAGCTGATATAAATGTAAATTGACACACACCAAAAAGCCACTGCATAGAAAGCTCATTACACCTTCTGACCCTGTCTCACCTGGAAAGTGGCTACCCTAGGGAAGATTTGGGAATGCACTTGATCTCTGTTCTCTTCAATAATAGAATAGAGCTATTGACAGTGCCTATATTGTACTATATGCTATTAATTTATCCATGAGAATTTCAAGATTACCATGAAATTAACTTTTATCCTTCATTTTGTCTAGATTTTTCTTTACTCAACCTCAGTAGCCAGCTAGTAAGGCAATAATGCACTTGGTTGTTCAGAGGGAATTGAACTTTAGTGATAAACAATTAAGGTATTTATACCTGCTCACTGCCAAACATGCATTTATGAGCAGATCATTCTTTTCTAAGAATAATTCTGAGGCTAATTCATCCCTGATGGATACAGATGGCTTATACAAGTGCAAGGCTGATTCACTGACTGGAGGTAACACCCTGAGCTACACAATAAACTAATGCATGGCAACAAGCAAAGTTTTAGGGCAGCAGAAAAGCTGTGACACTGAAAAATATGACATTTTGCCCTGTGTTATCTTCCTAACATTGAAAATAAATTAAAATATCCATGGCAATAATGTTATTCCATATGCATGTATAGACCTCCATATAAACTAGGACCTCATAATTTGCTGTACAGTCCACACTTTCCTTTTTGATTCTTGTTTTCTAAAAATCTTCAGAGCATAAACAACCTGATTCATCAGACTGGAGATAGAACATGACCTATAGGTGTAACAACCTTTAGGAATGCACAGGAACATATTGCAAAGAGCTGCTTTGGTAAAATATCTTCAGCTGACAGGGGTGAGGAGTGGTGACTAATGATACAAAAGAAAGGAAGTGAACATGCTTGTGGGGTTTTTTGACAAATAGAAAATGCATATTTTTGTTAGAAATAGCAAATTAGCTAACTAGGAAATCATGTCCTTACAGTCAGGTACATTTAAAGCACAAATCTATGGATATCAAAGCACCTCAGTCTGAAATTCCTTAGAAGGGCTTGAATGACTGAGGACCTTCTCATGTCACACATTTATACACTCAGAGAAAAAAAAACAAATCTTGCCTTACCCGGCCAACTAGGATTGGTTCAGGTCCAGAAAATTCTTCCAATACAAACATTTGATTCCAAACCCAGCCTCTCTTGGAACGGTACAAAACTCTTTGTTCTTCATTTAGCCTTTTTAGTCCTGTACTGGATCCACTTGGTAGTACTTGAGATTGATTCATTGGAGCCATATAAATGGAAGGAAGGACAGTAATCCATAATATTATTAATGGAGTCCATGTATCCATGAGCATTTCCGTTAGTCTTTCTGGCATTGTACCACACGCTACGCAAATCACCACAAAAATGAAATTATTATTATTTTGCTTTCCTCCAGACTGTAGCAATCCAATTCATCACGCAGTACAGAACATTTACTTACAGCTCCTCCATGTGTTTACAGCACAGTCAATGTAAAAATAGCTTAGATGAGAAAAACATGATCCATTGAGTTTTCCAGTCATTAAAGATTCCTGGTGGGAGAAAGAAAAAAAGAAAGTTCAAATCAGTGACTAAAGAGCTTAGGAAAGCATTCTGAAACATCTTATTTACTTTTACATCATAAATAAGCCATGTTAGGTCTTAAATTTGTAGTTCATAACGTTATTGCATAGTTAAATTGATTCCGTGTATTCTTTCATTGCCTACAACGCCGAGAGAAGACCCAGATAAATGATTACACACACTTTGGAAAATATTCAGGCCTAAGAATTGGACGGGGCTTGCAGCAACCTGGGCTAGTGGAAGGTGTCCCTGCCCACGGTAGGGAGGTGGAAATGGAAGATCTTGAAGGTCCCTCCCAACCCCGACCATTCTGGGATCCTGCAGTTCATCTGAGGGTCTGAAGAAGCTGCCAATTTTCCCACTATCCTGCACTGTAAATGTGGTCAAATTACAAACATATATTCTGTCACATAACCAAATTAAAATCATGTTCTTGCATTCTTATTCTCCTTTCCTCCACAAGAAAAAAACCCCAAACTTCTCCTGTGTGTACAAAGTTCCAGCAGCCCACTGTCAGTTTAGCCATCACCTCTCTGCAGCAGGAACAGCACTGCTAAATCCTCTGTGAAATCCATGACTCCCAAACCAGACCACTAAGGAAACTCATTTATGCACATCTGCACTACAGGTCTCGCTGTCTCTCCTTTGCTTTCAGAGAAAGCACACAGTCATGTTTCATTTCAAAGACATTTTCCTAGATGGACACTTGGGAGCATTTTGTCTTTCTTCCCTTGCCCACCCTTTGATGTACTAAAAGGTCACACCACATTTCATCTCAGAGTAAATATTCCTTGAAATGGAAAGGCAAGTTAACATAGCAGGGCTGATGCCAGAGAGATGGGCAAACCCAGAAATGGAAAACAAGATGGGATGGGGCTCAGAGAGAAGGGCTGCATTACAGGGTTATGGAGTTACCTGAAAAGGGTCTTGATCCATTTTCTTTGATTCATACAATCTTTGGTAAAAAGATTCAGGAGAAACCACTACATACAAGAGAATAGCGATGCCTATTCTTAAGCTTACACTGTGATTTAGGCTGGTTTTCTTCTACTTTAAGATTAATTCCTAGTATTGCATGTTTATGAAAATCCTGAGAGCTTCAATTTATTTTTTTTCTTTGGGG